TTTTAACTGCAGAATGCACTTTCCTTCTTACGATAAAAGTTCTTTCTATTGCAACGTTTTCTATGTTATATGTAATAAAATATAACTCATTTTGGGTTAATGCTCATAATGTAAGTTAAATTTGTACTGTACATATTAATGCACATATCTCTCACACACACACACACACACACACACACACACACACACACACACACACACACACACACACACATAGTTTTGAGATTTAAATAGCGTCTGCTAGCGTTTGTTTATTGCGCATGTGTCAACGAGTGTTCCAAAACTGAATGAAAAACAATATTTTAAAAGTTTCTAATATAATCATGGTCGAGGAGAAGAAACTTAAAATAGAAAGAAGAATCATCGTATATAAACAATGAAAGAAATAAAGAACGAAAAAAAACATCCTCACAAAAATATCCCTATGATATTAATAAATGTTAAATAATATTCCGTGAATTAAAATAATATAAGAATATTATGTGGAGTAGAGATATCATTAAAATATCTCCACGATATAAAAAATATTAAATAAAATGTTAAATTAAATTCCGTGAATATAATAATAATTTATAATAACATTATAAATTAATATAATATTCCAAAGATATCATATGAACATCAATTTTTAATCGCATATTAGCACGGACACACACCAAAATGATATTTTATCGGCAGTGTCAGAAAATGGAAGTGACTACTTAATTCCAATATGCTAAAATGGAATTGAGAGCGCTAGTGTACGAGGATTTTGACAATCCCACGAAAAAGGCCAAGATAATTGCTTTCAAGCTTTTTTCTGCTAAAACCCTCCATGATACTAGAAATCAATCCAAAATTTTGAATGAAGGAAAAATTGATCAATCGCAGTGTCCATTTCTGCCAATTAATCAATACGATTAATAAATTTTTTCTCCGTCTGAGATCGATTTTTTAGATTATGAACACAAAACTTTAGCCGTTACCTGTTTTTCAAAACTATCTGCATCATTCATCTTTCATCTTTCTTTCTCCTAGAGAAAAAAAAGAAAAAATAAATAATAAGAAGTTTAACTAAAAAGAACAGATCTTATGTTCGAATCCTTAGATTTATTGGCTGTTTAGAAAAAAACAGCTTTATAATTATTGTAAAATTCTTTAATATGATCAATTTATATCATTTTACAACAGTTGCAAATCTGCTTTTTCTGAACGCAATCATTTTTTTCGAGTCGTAGGATTGATCTGGCGGGAATACGTTTGCGAACACCGCGAGCGGCTGGATAGGCGTGGCCGGTAAACCACACCACCTCGCACGAACCAATCGCATGACGATACGTCATGCGATCATCCTCTACGTTATCACTCGGGATATTATCGCTGTAGTCGATGCTGTGGTGGTCCTGTAGTGCGTATATACGCTTTCCTTCTCCCTTCTCCGACCTTCTCCGTTTCTCCCACGACACGCTTGGGATTTAATCGGGCACTCGAACAGCTGTTGCTCACATGCTGACAGAATACGATCGACCGTTGTGGCACGTGTATCGTTCTGCGTCTCGCATCCGCGCCAAGCACGAACGTACGCACAATCTTGATTGGCATATTGTCACACGTTGCGCAACGACGAAAATCGAGAGAAATCATTTCCGCGAAAGAAAGAAAACGCTTCGAGTGACGAATCTCGTGCGTGTCGACCGCGACTTTTCACGGCTAACTTCTTCCGAGTGGATTTCTGATTCCCTTCGCGGTTAACTTCATTGTTTATACTACGCGGCGTGTCGTAACGGAACGTAAGGCTACGTAGCCATTCACCGTGAAGGACACGTGCGGTTCCGTAGAAGCAAAAGGGATCCGACAAAGAGAGAGAAAGGAAAGAGAGAAACGAGGAACGTGATAACGGAAAAAATCATTTGAAGGGTAACGTCGCATCATTAGGCCAGAACGATATCGCAGCAACATGAATCTGTCATTCGCCGGCTGCGGCTTCCTCGGCATCTACCACGTCGGCGTGGCGGTTTGCTTCAAAAAATACGCGCCACACTTGCTGCTGAATAAGATAAGCGGCGCGTCCGCGGGCGCTATCGCCGCATGCTGCTTGCTCTGCGATCTGCCCCTGGGTGAGTGAACTCATCTCTCTCTCTTACTGCTCTTAATTATGTAAATCTCAGTCCCCCTTCAGAGAAGTAGAACATACTGCGAAGAGATCACGCGTATTAACAACTCTGAAACATGATTTTTCAGTATCCTAAATTTAGCTGTAATGCTTAGTCTTCAACTCTTTCCTCTCCCCCGAAATTAAAAAAAAATTAGTTATATTTTACAAAACCTATTTTTCTCATTCAAAATCAGGAACGAAGAGATATTCTAAGGTTTGAAATAGCCAAAAATTCATTAAGATAAAAAATTGCTACGTGTCAACAGAATTGATGAAAATTCCCTCCCGAAAAAATCTTGGATACGCCCGTGATAATCTTATAATGATAGGATCAAAAATTATGAAAAAATTTATATATATATATTTTTTTGAAGTATTAATCAAATTATATTGAATAAGAATTATATCGAAATATTTAAAGAAAAGAAGGAGAACGCTTCTCTAATATTTATTTTTATCAATACAGGTTAATTTTAATCTAAGTGCGGTATTCAGTCAGTTCTTATATTTAAAATTGTTTTAAGTAAGCTTATATTATTGATTAAAATATGAATTTAAGATCTTAAATATAAAAACTGACTATGAATATTGTCCTAATAATTAGAAAAAGGAATAAATTAAATCGTTAAATTCTTCTAGATTAGCTTTAATCTAGAAGAATTTAGAAGAATCTATTGGTAAAAATGTATATAAGAGTAACAGATTTTCTGGCAATCTAAAAATTTTAAATAATTTAGACTTGAAATATTGATAAGATGATACAATTTTGAATACTTGAAATATATTTTTATTTATTGAATGCAATCAAAAATCTAATATAATTAGGAAAATATGATTAAATAAAATTAAATAAGATCGATTTTATTTCATTTAGAATCGTGTCATATTCGACGTTGTATCTTTTTATTCCAGTCCAATTTAAGAGTTAATTAAATTGATCACGAAAATGTTCAATATATTCATGCAATATTTTTTCTTCTATTATAATTTTTTTTTATAAAATTATCCTTTTGATTCTTAAAAGAAGTATTGTTAAATTGTTAAGATTACTATAATCTCCCATCATGGACAATCATTAATAAAAAATTAAAACTACTCTTTAATATTTAATTAATTCAATTCTCGAATAATTTTTATTAATAATCAAAAAATTGATCTTGTCTCACACAATTGTATGAGATTATTCGATATATTAAATATGTATTTATATAAATACATACATAAATACATTTATATAAATACATAATTCATAAACTTGTAGTACATAATTTATATAAATTATCATAATTATTATACTTGAAGATTAATGCTGAATAACTTTGCAGTTATCTAAATAATGCGCCTATATGCATGGTGAAATTAATGAAATTACATGTTGCACAACGATAGGGTCGGCGAAACAGATAGATTTGTTATTACTCCGCCTATAATTCATTTGCGTCTCGTTACCGTGATAACGAGAACGACCGCGGACTAATTAGCGCGGTGAATTTGTAACCGCTGCCCTTTCCCATATCTGTCACTCGTTCCGATTGCATGCCGTATTACATGTTAATTTTTATTAAATACACGCGAGCGATATGTCGCGAAACGTTAACGGTCGTTAAGATTAGCCTGCCCGCACGTTTATCGCAGGTGCGATACACATATAATCTCGTTAAACTCGTTCGAAGAGAAAATCGATTACACATATAAAAAAAAAAGGTAAATAAAATATGTAATCGAATAGATCAATCGATAAGGAAAATAAATATTCAAGATATATGCATATGCAGTTGAAGAATCATGTAAAAAAAGGACGGATGAATTATGTAATTCGAAAATTACTTGTATAGAGAAAATTCTGAATAAAATATGCATTTGATTTCCTTGGATCTGAACGCTTGTTGCAATAATACCTACTTGATAGCTATTAGCAGATGAAATTTTATCACTTATCTCGCAAGGCTTAATTCACAAAAGAGGTTTTTGATAAGAATTCAAAAATAAAATAAGCATAAAATATAAAAGAAATAGAAAAGATATTGCGATAATAATAGAAAGATAATAATAAGAATAAAACATTCAAAATAGGAAAGAAAGATAGGAAAGGAGGGAAGTTTTTTTTTTTAATAAGAATCTTAGAGGCTTGAATAAAGAATTCGCTCGCATGATGCGAGATCTTATTTAATCTCGTAATAACAGTTACGTGATACTTTATACGTTTCGTTGTCGGTAAACATACGCCGGAGATAGAATGACAATACCGCGATAATTTTCGAGGCGCGAAACATCTTCGATAGCTTCAATTGGTGCGCGACTTATCTCTGACATGCTTTCACAAGTCCTGAAATAATTCGCAAAGTATTGCGTAAACGTCATCACCCTTACGCCTCGGTCTTGTAAATGGGTCGCACGCCTAGCCGCATTGGAGGAGCGCGCGGGTGTTGTAACGCGAGGTTTATCGCACAAGTGTTTTGTTTCCCCGCGAAGCCAAACGTGTTGCCTTCATTATCACGAGAAGTGGAATAAACATAAACGCATGCCTTCGCTTTCTCTCTCTCTCGTATCACGCATATTTCTGCACGCGTAATGGTAGAATATGCAAAAATTCATAGATGGAACGTAGAAGCGAGCGCGTTGATGTGCTCTAATTCTTTTATTCTGGATATTTTTTTTTTTTTTAATTAAGATTTGAAAGAATTGCGAGATTAAACTTTTACTTGTTGTTTCATCTATATGATAAAGGTACAAAAGAAAATTTAGTGTATTAAGTAGTATACACTGAGAGAAAACGAAAGTTTTGACATCTATAATTTTATATTTCTGAAATTTAAAATCTTGAAACTAATTTTATAAAGTAATAAAAACCAAAGTAGTATTGAATACTATAAAAGTATAGTAATATATAACAATATATGTGGACTATTAATTAATAGTGAAATAGCGATTGAATTATAGTTACATCGTTATATTACAGATTTCAAGAAATAAGATATAACAATTATATTTTTTAGACGAATATTTTTTTGAAATGCCATAATATTATTGGAATAATTTTAAAAAATTATTCTGACAATAACAATTATATAATACATTAATTTATCCTGATTTATTAGAAGTAAATATTTTTTAATTCATATTACTTATTGTTCTTATTATAACTTTATAATAGTTATGTGTCATTTATGATATTTATTACTGGTATGATTTTTTTCTCTGAGTGTACAAATGTATAAAATGTATAAAATGAAAGAAATTTTATATCTTCTTTATATATAATCAAATTATTATTTTTAAAATTATTCTTACTTACAGCTTACTTTCAATTGTTTTTCAATTTTTTTCTTTCATTTGCGTCATACAGATACATTATGAAAATATTATGAAAATTCTGTTAATACTTGAAGAGTAATATATACAAGAGTCGAACTCTTAAATAGTATTTTTGTGTAGTTACATCGAGGTATTACGACGTCTATACTTTTTATACGCACGCGTCACGTATAAAACAACACAGCGAATCACTTGTGAATCACTTTCGATCGCGATTGGATGCGATCATAATGGCCAAATGTGGCTGCACTTCGCCGTCTTACGTAAGTTCTAATTACGGAAACGAGACGAGTTACGTATAGAACAAACGTAGTCTGAATTGAATTAAACGATGCCATGCTGGCTGGATGATGCGTGATTCACTAACGAGATTAGAAACTCGACAGACTTTGGCATATACTTGAAAAAATACATATGCTTAATCGTTTCATCTTTTACATGATAACTGTGACTTAATGATCTGTAAATTACATCATTTCATAATATATGCAAGAGTGTCGCAAACTTTTTAAAACTTTTAAAAATTAATATTTATACGGATGTTAAGAAACACACGTGCAAATTAAATTCCTCATCGACTAAAATAAATATAAAAAGCTCATATTTGGATATGTATTTTTTCAATATGAGTGATTAAAATAAAAAGCAGTAAAATGGATATTTAAATTTAAATTAATGAATTAATTTTTGCACCACGACTTCTCGGGCTCTCCAATTTAAATATTTTGCAAGTAGATCTCTATGTCTCTTTATGCCTTTGTCCATTCGTTATTTATGCGCATATTGCTTTTCATATGGATGTCACGCGTTTCCGATTGCGGCACGCAAACAAGGTCATTAGACAGGCTTGGCATAACATGGACGTCGTACAACAAACCGATCAACAGTTACGACAAATATGTTTTCGTGTCTTCCGTAGCGTAGATCAAAATCATGGTCATGCAATGCGAATCGGCGAAAGATAGTCGGCGAAAGAGTTAGACGCTATCTCTTGGCGATTCTCTCGCGTAGATATGTGCATCGGTGTCAGTGGAACTGGGTTACAACTGCACATTTATTGCGAGAAATTGTTGTTGCATGACTGTGGTGACTATATATCCTTTATTCATTTATTTTAGATTAGCTATCTAGATTTATTATTTCCTCAAAACTCGATTTTGTCTTCTATTTCAACAGTATTACGGGAAATTTTTT